TTTTACACATCTTCAAACAAACATGAGTTAAAATTAAACAAAGAAAAACATCTTCCAACCACTTATCCTGAATAGGATTGTAGAGATATTCTTCTACTGCAGTTTGATAATGAAATATTTTAATTAAAAAACAACAATAAAAATTCCTTCTCACTAGCCACTACCTATCTGCCATTGAAGTTACCTGAGTTCCGAAAAGCTTTCCACAGAAGGCAAAGTAAAACAACGAAAAGGATTATTAAAAGGGCACAAAATGATTTCAGAGTCTTTGGGCATCTCAGGGTCCGCCACAGAATGCAAAAGGTACCACTAAGAAATGGCCGTCAGTCAAAAGTCACCAAGTGAACAATGAGACTTACGATGTAAATAAAGGAGAAGTCAGGATAGAGGTGTCGTGGTTGTATGAGTGTCGCAGGGCGGAGCGCGTGCAGAAAGCTTGGCAGTCAGCCACTCGCTAGGTTTCTGTGGGCAGATGAAGCGTGGATAGAGGTCTTTGACAGCACCTCAAAGCGTGTGTCCAAACGTCATACGCTTGCCTTAAAAAAATAACACCCCCGCAAGGAAGTATGAAGTATGGTAGCAGCAGTATCATACTTTAGGGGAGATTTTGTGGCACTATACCTTTTACATGCGGCTTATGTTTTATACATTTACATTTAAATCACAATTATACAACTACTTCAGGTATCACCAGTCATATATGCAGTATATATAGTATATACTTATATACTTATATACTCATATATATATATTTCCATGAAGGGTGACTTGGATGGACTCTGGATCATACATGGATGGATGGTTGTATTTGATTTGCACAATCCAGGCTGAAAATTGTTCCAAAAGCCGAAACTGAGCATAACAATTTAAGCTTTACGTATTCGGCTCATGACCCCGTGAGCCTTTGGTCTCAGGCAGGCTATTCCTGAGACCCAGAAAAGTTGTGCGTTTGACAGATGACGGTACGGCACTGTGTTCTGAGGCCTCTGCTTTGTTCCCTACAGCCTTGCGTTGAGTTTGTGCAAACTTTTTTCAAGCAACACCTGGCAGTAGTTCTGGGAGTAGCTTTTGCCATCGCAATCCTGATGGTAAGGATATTTCGCCTATATTAAAATGCAGTACATTCCAATTCAATTCATATTTCATTACCATACTAATAGTAAATACTTTTCACTGGATACATTTACGCTACACGATTGTAACTATACTTGTGAGTAACCGATTATTGACTTTTTGCCTGTTGCCTGTTAACACCATGGTATGTGTTTCTCTGTCTTTTTAGCTTTTCGGAATGACCTTTGCTATGACTTTGTGCTGCCAGATTGGCAAGAAAGAAGCTACCAGTGCAGAGAATATGAAAATGCCCGAGTAGAATCATTGAGGAAGGTGTGTTTCATAGTGAAGATGTTCAGTGCATATCCTCCTAGTTCAGTGTTTCCCAATCCAGTCCCCAGGGACCCACAGACAGTCCACGTTTTTGGTAGCAAAAATGTGGACTGTCTGGCAGGGAGTTTGGAGGGAGCAAAAACATGGATCCACTGTGGGTCCCCAAGGACTGGGTTGAGAAACACTGACCTAGGTGGTCCCAGTGGTTGCAGGCTAAGCTCCATGTGTCTCTGACAGAAGGCTAACTGTCCCTTTAAAAGTGTACCTGTGATTCTGATTTCTTTTCTGTTGTTTCATGTGCGTGTATATGTTAAATTAAGCTAAGCGACACTGTACTTGTTTAATAGCTGTACCAATGAAATATATTACAGAAAGATATATAAAATGTACAGATGTCCATCGTCTTACGTCCAGGTTTTGTCCTGGAAGTGAGGACATAAGTCAGTCTGAACGTATGCTGATCGTTATAGGAAAGAGGTCAAATATACCGTATAACATAAGATACAATATCACACACATTTGAATAAAGTGCAGTCGGTTTGTTTTGGTTCTAGCCGCATGCTGCACACGTAGTGAGATATGTCCGCTCACGTCCACTGAAGGTCTGTTTCGGACATCTCTTGAGGAATGTTATTACGGCTTTTGTGGGATGTACAACTGGATATTACCTAATAGGATGCAAGTTGACGGATGACTGTATATTGCAATATTCATATGATTGTGGCATATGACATGTAAGAATTGATATATTAGTATGCAATTCTGTTTAGTTGCATTACTTACTGCTGTGATTAAGGCCTTCACAATATAAAATACTCCATAAACTACTCACATTGTTAATTGCTTTGTTTGGCAGTCGTTCCCTGGATCAAAATACTTTTTTGTTTTGTTTTGCATCTTAAAGGCAGGGTTGCCAACTTTGGTCAGCTGGCTGGAGTGAGATTTCCAATTCGAGACAAATCTGCACACACATGCACATGCATTTACATGTACAGTTTTATTGCCTTGTAAAGAGTCTGTAGGGTTTGCAAACCACCCCGATACTTTTGATGTAGCTGATTTTATGTATATAATAGAATATTATTTATGCCGTAAGATTTCTTGCATGAGCGAGTCTGAAAGCGTGAGTGTCACGCCAGATGAATGACAGTTGGCAGCCCTGCAATGGGGTTTCGGGAATAATACTGAAAAAAAGGCCTTACACAAGCAAACACTTCAAAAAGATTGTTTCTGTGAATATGGTTTCAGAGATATGTGGGTATATGGTATACTTAAATCTGTTTTTGTCTCTGAAGAACAAAATAGTTTCCTGTTAAAAAAAAAAAATCAGAGAATTGACTTCACATCTACTACCTGTGAGAGGTAACTGCTTTACCCTGTCACCTTCTAATTACCAGCTCATTTAATATTTATATGAAACACAGAGTGAGCATGCAAATCAGACATGCTGAGCAGGAAGCACAATTCAAATGCCTGATCCAGCACGTTGGAACAAAAAATGGGGCAGGTCTTCAATTAATCTCTTTTTCTTCATTAGGATTCTTTAATCCTCCCAAAAGAGTGGCATTATGGCTCAGTGGGTAGTACTATTGGCTTATTCCTTAAAGGTTGGGGATTCAAATCCCACCATAGCTGTGTGGGGAGTTTGACATTTTGAAACTGCCAGGGAGTGTATGTGCACGATCTGATGGCCTGCCGTCCCTGCTGTGCTCTGACTTTGACGTGATACGTGTCTGTTAAATGGATGGAATCCTTTTTTCAGTTATTATATCTGTCAATCTGCATTCATTTCTCACCGAGGTCCTGTATTGACAAGCGAGTTGAACCACCCCATAATGCCTCCTTCAGCACATCCCAAACACCTTCAATGAGGTTAAGGTCACAACTCTGTGGTGACCAAGTCATGCGTGAAAATGATTCCTCATGCTCCCTGAACTACTCTTTTACAATTCGAACCCAATGAATCTTGGCATTCTTGTCCTGGAATATGCCCATGCCAACAGGGAAGAAAACAATCCATTTATGATTGGTGGAGGTGTTGATGATGATGATGGATGGAGGTGTAACCTGGCCAGTAGATTCAGGTACTCAGCTGACTTCCCTTTATTGCTGCATAATGTTGCTGAGCTGTAATAATGATTCAGTCTTTTTTTTTTTTTGGCCAGGCAGTGTAAATTAAATTATTTTAAAAAGTTGCTTCAAATGTAACAATAAATTTCACAATTTTTAGGTGTGATCACGTTCCACAACAATGTCCTACAGTCACCCTAACGAGTTCTTTAGATTCCCTTGATTAATACAAGCACTGTTGCCTCACACCTCTGGGATCAGGGTTCGAGTCTCCGCCATGACAGCACAGGTTTGTTCTCCCTATGTCGGCGTGGGGTTTTCTCCAGGTGTTCTGATTTACCCCCACAGTCCAAAAAACATGTTGAAGGTAATGGGAGTTAGCAAACTGTCCCTAGGTGTGTTCGTGAGTGTGCCCAGTAATGGGTTGGTGCCCCATCCTGGGTTATTCCCTGCCTTGTTTTAGACCACCCCCCCAGTCCAAAAACATGAGTTGAAGGTACCAAACTGTGAGTGCAATGGGTTCCCCCACTCCCCACCCGCTGTGACCCTGAATAGAACAAACAGAAAATGAATGGGTGGACATTGAGCAGCAGATCTTAATGGTAAGGTTATTGAATCTGTGAGGTTTTTATAAAGAGCAAATAACTCAATCTGCTGAAAATTGATGCAAACAATGAAAGGGACACACCAAACACAGGCTTCCAGGAACAAAAAGGGATTATTTATAGAAACAATAAACAGAACCAAATGGATCAGGAGGAGTCAAAAAGGGAGGCAGGGAGATGCAGGCAGGAGGGACTGGGATGAACCTACTCACAGGGAACAGGACAAGGACCAACAATACAACAACCACTAACTAAACTAACATCCACAACAGCTACAAACTAACAATAATTACAACCTCAATGACCAATCTGGGGAGGATGGCAAGGGCAGGCATATATGTACACAGAACACAATTAACAATCTCGAGACAGGTGCGGATGGTTAAGATATTGGAGCTGGGAGCAATAATGTGATTTCAGGATGGCCAGTGACCTCTGCTGGCCAAACGCTGACATGACGGAGACAGACCATGATCATAATGCTACGGATACAGTTTTACTGTTGTCTATTAAACTTTCATTGTATGAAATGAAAATCTGCAGAAGGGCATAATAAGACTTAGAAATCTTTCATAATGTGGCAGTAAGTGAATCACAACAGGATGCATTGTCTATTCTGGTTTTTGTAGATCTTTCCCTGTAGGGCTTGTTTGTGCATTGATTCAAATCTTTTTGCTACCATAACTGACAGTATTATGACTGTATATCCTCACATGCAGTGTTCACATAGCTAATGGATAACTAATTTTCTCTGGATACTGCTTAAAGGATTAAGCAGAGTGCTGTTAAAATTTCTGAGCTTTTATTTCCAAGCTCGCAAACACTGGCACAATGCAACACATACCAGTGTATCTCTTATTCTACTGCTACTGTATATCACTAGATAGGTGGAAAGTACAGTTAGCTCCCCCTACTGGCTCTATCATAAATTTACATCCACATTACTTACTACATCTCCTCCCCTGTGGTAATACCAGTAAAAACGAAGCATCATATCTATCCCAGGAGGTGTGCAGAAAAACCCAATTACTGCAGCATTATTATAAGCAGAATATTGCCTTGTGATCTCCGCTTTGGTTATCTATCACACTTGTGGTCCTTTCGTTTTCTGATTTCTCTTCTGTGTTTGGTTTGTTAAGCAAAAAACCCTTTTTTCTCCACAGGGTCATCAGGCCAGCGGAGAAAACAATTGTCTGCCGTCTCCCCACCCTGGAACTAATCTACACCTCCCGATGCCGGAAAAAAGCCACGGACATTTTACAGGATTCATCACATCCCGGTCACTGTCTCTTTCAGCTTTTGCTATCAGGAAAGAGAAACAGAACAATGAAAATCAGGACAAACCACCTAAAAAGCTATTTTTGTCTAAAAGCAATCATGACATTAAACTCTAAACAGAACTGTTAATTTTTGAAGTGCAATTTATATATCCAGTGCAATTTATATATCCAGTGCAATTTGTATAGTCAGTGCAATTTGTATATTTTTAATATATTCTCTTATTACTCATGGCTGACATTGAGTCGCCTGCACTTTCTCAATTTCATTGTCAAGTGACAATGACAATAAAGATTATCTTATCTTATCTTATCTTATCTTATCTTATCTTATCTTTTTCCGAGAGTCACCATAGATTGTCTTTTCACCATTCCATAACAAAATACTGTCATTGCTACTGGTGTCCTCTGTATCACCGCTGTGCCCCTCCTCTTAACGGATATGTCTGTCTTCCTTTTCCAGCAATCTTCTCTTAGATCTGCAAGCCATTTTTTAGATCCGCCCCCCCCACTCCTGATTCCTATGTCCTTGATTGAACCTAATTTACAAAGGAGAAACACATGCTATACAAAACAGCAAATGAATAAATGACTCAGCAAGGTGATCAAACGTTTTTAAAGGGTAGTGGTGCTACAGCATACTGAAGGGCTGTGTTACACCGGAATGACCACGGGTTCGATGGGGAGCTCGCTCGCTATCCGGGGCGAGCAGCTCAGCCCGGCGTAGCACTGGCAGGTGAAGTGTTCGGAGAAGTAGGTGAGGTCAGAGAGGGTGGGAATGCCCACTGCCATGTACTTTCCGCCAGATTTTCGGACGGAGAAGCTGGCAGGGTTCAGGTGCAGGTAGACGTCAGAGTTGTAGTCCTTCCGGATGCAGCGGCCGTTACCCTGGCAGAGTGACTCGCTGCAGAGCCTGGAAGCCGCCGTCACGTTGACGATGTAGGGGTTCAGGTTGGAGGTCAGGTAGGAGGACAAAGCCTCGCATGATGCCTACAAGGATGGAACGTGCTTGTGTGACATATAGACAGGTAATCTGTGACTGAGTGGGAAGAAAAGATCCCCTGAGATATGAAACAGGCCTAAAGCACTGTTATAGCATAGATGCATCATTGGCTTTATTGTTTACTGCTGATTTCTTATTTCTCTTACTTGAAAGTGATGGAACTGCAATTATCATGGACATTGTGAACACAGTGATCCTTTTTTAACCACAATCGTTTAGTCTGTCCCCACCGCAGACATGCAGATGGCATGTGTTTCATGAGAGGTTACCTTGTCATTGAAGTCTGTGACGCCCCCCCAGAGCACTGAACCTGAGGCCCCTACAGCCGCATTCTCACCCAGAGTGTGGATCAGGTCCTTCTGGAGATGACGACAGACACAGGAGAGTGAGACAGAACCACAGGACTCCGTGGCATGATGGCTTACAGCTTACAGGGAGCATATGCAGGTCATGAGCAAAGTCATCCAGGATTACAAACATCTTGTCCGAGGGATAGTTTCAGTCAACATGGCAAAACTGAAATAAGAGTGTCGGATTAAGGTAGCCAGGACCTGACGTACTCACCACACTCAAGAATTTGTTGGCTTGATTGGCAAAGACAGGACGGGTGTAGACGTAGATGGGGACATTGAAGGGGTGCTTAGGCAGGCTGGCCACCCTCATGGCTTCGTGAACTTGGTTGCGGACGTACAGAGCAGCCTTGCGGGTGCTGCCCAGACTGGTCTGTAGGTAGACAGAGGGGTAGAGGGCTGTGCTTGTCTGCCACAGCCACAGGAGCTGGTTATTGCCAGTCTGTGCCCACTTGGGGCACTCTCCTGTGTAGTCAGTGCCATCCCAGCCATAGTTATAGCATTCAGGGAAGAGATAGAAGCCCCAGAGGTAATTAGGCCTCATCTTGATCCCCAGACCCATTGTGTCCTCCATGTAGCTTCTGGCAGCTGTCTGGAATTGCTCCTTGGCCACGAGCTTGGCTTGAGATGGCGAAAGTGATGGGTCAAGCTGATAGGCGTAGTCGATAGACAACGTGCGGTAGACAGACTTGGAGCCCCAGTTTCTGTCCCACAGGGGGTGCCAGGCATCCCAGTCAATGACAGCCAGGCCGGCGATGGTCTCTGAAGGTATATAATGGGCGACGTCCACCTGGGCGACTTCCAAACTGGCCGTCAGGTTACCCTTCTGCGGGATGCCCCCATTGATCTCATTATTAAAGTCCTCGTTCACGAAAGGGAACAACCCCAGGCGGTTGATATAGAACAGGAAGAGGAACTGGTCAGGAACAGCCTCTGGGGTGGTAACAGCCTGGAATGGCGAGGTGTCCAGAGGGATGTTGTTCTGCTTGCAAACGGGAGTTTGCATGTTCCATATGACACTGTAAGGGTAGCCCTCAAACTGCGGGGCGGCAGTGGGGGGATATGGGAGGTCAGCATGAATGCTCCCCAGGAAAGATAGCACAAGGAAGGGCAGTGGGAGAGAACTGGATGCCTTCATCCAAGTAACCAAATCCATGGCTTCTCCTGTGTAAATTACACACATATAATGCATTCATCTAGCTGTCATATCTCACACAGGATAAATGTGTCTGAGTGTAAATATACTTTGCTAAATAGGCTGGGAAAGTGTGTTTGCATTAGTATTACCATATCATTGCCTGGCAGACTTACTCTACAGCAGCGGCAGGCAATCCTGTCCTCAAAGGGCCGGTGTGTCTGCAGGTTTTAGGGATAACCTTTAGGTCAGCTGTTCAAACCCAGTCCTCTAATTAGTCATCTAATTAGGGAGTTGCAGCAAAATCCCGCATACACAGCGGCCCTTTCTGAATAAGACTGCCTACCCCTGCTCTACAGCATGTATTAATGAGATCCATTGTGCCGAAAGCCGTTCGGACACGGAGAGGAAATCATGTCTGATACTAAAAATGCCATGTCTATGAGCATTGCACTGTCATTACACAGAACCTGAGATTACAGGTATATCTGACTACAGTGATGGACATTCAAATACCTTTATTTCAGCTTGCGGATTTGACTTTCAACAAGTAGTGTTTTAAAGTTGTTCTTTTAAACATCGGAACATCTTAGTTATTTAATGAAGTAGCTTTCATATTGCGGCATGGTGAAATACCGTACCTTTCTGAAGTTGTCACCTGAGCTTCTTCAGCACTGCGTCCTGCTGAGGCATTTATAGTGCAGAGCTAAGGTGACATGTTTTATTTAAGGCCATATCAGGCCTTTATCAAGATGCCCATTGTAATGCAAAATAGCTCAGCTCGATTATGTTACGTAAAGACCACTGTGGGTATGTTTACAAAGTTTGTGTCTGTGAGCCTGTAAAATGGTTCTGCAGTCAGTCTCGTACTTTCAGAATTCCAGGGATAAGACTTCTATGAATGTCATTCTGTCAGAAATACCACAGAACTTGCAAGGAAGACAAGATGATCTTGGAGGTGATAGTCCTTCATCTGGGCTGCAATGTCCCCCAGACATACAGAGATCCAAGCAGAGACAATGGTGTTGTCAAGCAGGTAGGTTGAGTATAACTGGATGTCATGGTAGGAGAAGCTATGTGATTGGATTTTTAGACAAACATAGATAATGCACAGTGACAAGAGGGGTGGGCCAAGGACAGAGCCTTGGGGAACACCAGTTGTTACTTGATGTGATCTGGATACCTCTGCACTCCAAGCCACTAGGAATGATCTGTCCGATAGGTATGACTGAAACCAGAGCAGAACAGCGGCTGTGCTGCCAAGTGCAGCGAGGGTGGTCAGGAGGGCTAGAGCACTTATTTACCCAATAATATGATTTAATATGATTTATGGCTGCTGTACACGATTATTTGTAGCATTCTGCTGGGCCATGATGACCTTCACAGTGTCCTCCCTACTCTGGTAGATATTATGTTAGATTGTGTAATGCTAACAGACCTGTGTAAATGTGATTGAAACATAAGGGAAGTGCACTTGGTGAAGGTCAGGATCCTTGGCTCATTCTCACCCTGTGTTCACAAAGCAATCAGGTTTAAGAAGGCCATCAAGACCACCTTGAAAATATCAATGTACTGTCGGTCTTTGATGTCCTGCATGTATCTGCATTTGTAGAGTTTTTCTTCAAACAGTTGAAGCCATAGAAACATTCAACATTAGCTTAAAATATCTGAACCTTTATATTTCCATATGTGTCTTGGAACAGGAAGTTGAATTAAAAGTAATTTTATTGTCAGATTCACAATGGATTTAATTAAAGGTAGAACATGAAAATATGTCTTGATATCTCACAGTGCTTCTCATGTTCTGTAATGCAATGGGGCTGCACTTTATGCAGCAGATTCTAAACGTCATTCCTGATTTCTGATCAATGTTCAGATTCAATGCTCGCGCATTTATTAAAGATTAGTTTTTATACCCTAATGTAATTCCCAGTCATGAACATTTTTGTCACTATATTGTGCTTAAGTTTTATTGATAATGATAGTATTTATGTTTAATGCTTAAAAATCCTATGCCATTCTATGTTTAGCTTATTGTTTAAGATTGAAAAATAAAGTCCTTGCAATATAAATGATAAAATTGGAATTAATCATAGAAAGCTTGTTGCTATCACTGTGCAGAGTAGAACAGTTCCCTCCTTAAAATTCTAAGATGCTGAGTGATGAAGCTGGAACTCAAATTGCTAAGGGTGGGAATAGCTGGTGACGCAAAAAGGAAATTATCTGTAGGCCATACCATCCCTTTTGACAACGCTTTCTGTACGACCATCGAAGAACACAGCCTACAAAGGCTACTACACTTTCAAAGACCACATCCTTCGAAGCCCCGGAATTCAGACACAGCCGAATCAATATCCAACCTGAATGGCAGCAAATCCCACCAGCAATATTCCAACATCTAATGGAAAGCCTTCCCTGTAGACAATAATAATGATAGATTCTTTATTGATCCCCATGAGGAAATTCTTTTTACGCCTCCCACCACTCTCACCTCTCTGTAGGTGAGAGCATGCTGGCCACAAAGGGCAGCCACCTGTACTGGCACCCAGGGAGCTGGGGGCTAAGGGCCTTGCTCAAGGACCTGCAGACGTGCCAAGGCCTGGCTCAGACCAGATAACTTTATATTAAAACCTTTGGTTTCCAGAATGAGATGTGGGACAAACTTGCATGGGATATGGTGGATGGCCATGCATTTTTGTATTTGTCTTGTATTTATTAATTGAGTTGGGAGACCAATAAAGAAATGGAAGTAGAACTGACACACGTAGCTTGGTTGTGTGTGGAGGTTGGAGTTGGTCAGGCGTAGCTTTTAAGTTGTGGTTTCTAAAATGTCTAGATTTTAATCAGTAATAACAATGGGTGGTGGTTGAAGGGCGGCCACTTGAATCTTTTCCAGCTTCCACCTCAACAGATATTTTAATTTGGGTTTTTTTTTAACTTTGTGAATTGTGTTTATTTGTTGTAGATGGTAATGTGCATGATTCAATTGTGCAGTATCACCAGCAACATACACTGAGCGGGGGTTTATATATTTTATGACTAATACTGTCAAGTTTGTTGTGTCTTTTCCTTATCTTATGTAATTCTGTGTTATTATGTTGTAGTTTAGTTTGTTATTGGTTGGCTCCTACATTGCTATAGGGTCGGCACACAAGAGGATTGTCGAACTCCTGACTAATTGCCTAAAATAAAGGCAGTTATTTTATCTTTGCTTTTGTGTGCCTCCTCAACATCTCCCAATGTTTTCCCATGTCCATAGACATCTTATCTGTAACTTGGTATATTTGGCAGTGATGAATCCTTTTATTCAGTAATCACGCACCAGTTTTACCCCTTACAAACTGGTGTACACATACTTTTGGCCATACAATGTATTTATGAACACTGCATGTAAATTTGGTCTATCGGACATGTGGAGAAAATGTTGACAATTGCATTCAACATAGGCTTGCATTCAACTTCCATACTTTCATTTTCAGAGTAAAAGAGTTTTTGCCGATTTCAATTAGTTTTTCGATGTAAATGAAACAGCCCATATTTTGCTTGTTGCCAAAATCTTTGAGGGCACAACACCCTCTTCTTGCATGATGAATTAATTACATTTCTTGCATGGCAGCCCCTTCTTTTTCCGGTTAAGTGCGATGGATGTGACCGTGCTGATGAGGGGAGAATATAGCGCTTTTTTCACTTCAGTGCTTGGTGCGAGAATAGATCGATAAATGTGTATTCGTGGCCGTCTCACGCACATTTCCCATTGAATGTTCTCCTCATCTCTTTACTGCCCACCTTCTTGCTGTTTAGGTCATTGCAACCCCTGACCATGCAGAACGTGGGACCTGGAACTAAAGACCCTTTGCCTTCCTGACAGAAATGAATGCTACTCATGTTCGGTAGACCCTGGCTAAAGGCAACATGGAGTAGAGTTTGCCAGGTCAGGTTCTTAAATTATGGTAAGTCATGCCCAGTTCATCTTTTAGGCAAGGTCAACCATAACATGCAGTCCACCTGAAGACTAAACGGGACGAGATGAATTAATAAAAGAAGCAAGTGATGAGACAAACAGCACTTCATTCTCTCTAAGTTGCTTTGGTACCTTGTTATACAGGAACATTATAATCAAGTTGCAATAAAAAGAACAGGCTGATACTGTATGTTAAGAGAAAGATCAATTAGCCTTAATAAAATATTTTTCCCTTTAACTAATTCATACGTTCTGCGGGTTGCTAAGGAATTTCGTTTCTAAACAAACTGCAATATCTAGTTTCGCCACTAGATGGGAGCACTAAAAAAAATATTCTGTTAATTCTACCTGTTAAAACTATATTTTATTTACGGTTTGTTTTTGGAAACAACGACTGCTAGGGAAAACAGGAAACTTTTTTTCACCCTTCAACAGTGATATTTAACCAGAATATTGACTGGCAACTATGCATGTCACAGGAAAGGTAATTAATTCATTATAATATTTACACAAGGAAAAGGCTAACGAAAATTAACTTCTCCTAGTCTTTTTCAGAGCAAGGTGACACCCTTCACTCGGCTGCTTGACTAGAGGCTCCCCCGAGGGAGGGCTGGCACGTGACACCTCACTGGGGCTCAGTGTTTCTTGAAATTTGTGTGCAAACTGAAGAAGGGAAGTAGAAAAGTTAAGATTGGGGTGGTGAAGATTGGACAGGTTGGAAAAACGCGAGAGAAGTAGCCACTGCACTTTGGGTGAAAAACAATTAAGAAATGGGAAATGATATGTAAAGTATTTTTAAAGAGGAAAAATGGGGATAAAATTAAAGTAATATGATGTAATTAGTTTACACTGCAGTGATGAATGGGAGAGGGGGTGTTTTCAGGGTAGGAGGTGGGGTCACACAGCAGGGGGAGCTGAACCGGGGACTGTCTGTCATAAAGAGAGGAATCAGTAAACTGTACGAGGCATTTTTGGGGCAGCATTTACCTTTGTTATTTGTCTGATTTTTGTGGTGGTCTATGCAATTTGGAGGGGGGGGGGC